ATACATACCACTTGATTCGTTACTACTTTTGTGATACCCGATCATTGGTAAAAAGATTTTCTGGTGTAATGTATTTTGCACTATCATAGTCAAACCCATTCCAAAATCTCCACATACATTTTCTTGTATGATGTTTAACGAGTTTTGATTGTTTGGTTGTGACATAGGATGGGGCTCATGTTGTGTGGACACCACCAAAATGTGAGCCGGATTTGCATTCCCTTGTCACATATGCATCTTTCTTAGGCTATGACACAAGATATGTTTCAAAGGCCCAGTTTGGAAGGAGAACACATACAAATATACAAATATGTAGGGGTGTTCACGGTTTGGTTAATCGAACAATAGGGTATATTTTGTAATCGAACCGGTAGTATCGATTTTTGGAAAATTGGTAACCGAAACCTATCAGTTAACCAATTGACTGATTCGGTTAATTGTTGTTTCGGTTTTTTAATTTTTATAATATATATTATAAAAATATATAATAGAAAATTATAAAAATATATATAATATTATATTTTAAATAATAAATAATATATCATATATTATAAATATATATTTATATAATGTATATTTATTAATTTATAATATATAAGAAATATATATAATATACATAAATATATATATAGATATATAGAAATATATGTATATCGGTCAATTCAGTTAATCGCGGTTTTCAATATTGGTTAACCAAAACTGAACCCGTACCCTCGATTTTTTAAAAACACCGAATTAACCGATTCGGTTAACCGGTTTTTCGGTTCAGTTTCGGTCGATTCAATTTTTCAGTTTTTTTGCTCACCCCTACAAATATATACAATACAAAAGAAAAACTATGTATTTTATATTATTTTATATGTAATTATATTCCTTCTAAACTGAACCAAATGTACAAATGGGTATGGATCCGGCAAACATAAATTAATGAGACCGAAACCCGATTGTGAAATAATATTTACTTTGAATTATAAATAGGAAATGGTGAATGAGCAGTTACTATTAAAATTCCATAAATAATTCACAAATCATATGGCTGAAGCTTTATCTGATTTTTCAGACAGGTGATGTTGGTAGACCCATTTAATGGTGGAGTCAATGTCCCCTTAGGCCCTTATTGCAGTTACAATTATGAGAGCACCGTCATTATAGCCTTGCTCATTCCTAATTTCTAATTCCAAGCCCATCCCCAGAAACAAAGATATTTCCTTTTGAAAATCTTCACCCCAAAAGGAAAAAAAAAAAAAAGAAAAGTTGTAAAAATCAAATCATTTGAAATCAGAATTTTCCAATCTCTCGTTTTTCTAAAACTTATGCAGAATGATTCAGAAAATAATTTCAATCAAGTTAGTTCATTACTTGATAATGTACCGTAGATTCTGCAATATGAGTCATCAAAATAAGTAACGAACCCCATCTAAGAGATTAATGGGACTGAATGATATTTCCCCATTTCAAGGAAATGTCATTCTCCCAACAGCTCCAGTAAAAATCTATTCTAGTCAATTCAGATTCCCTTACAAACCAAACAGACATGGGAATTGGGAAATAGACCATTCCAATTCCCATTTCAATGAATTTCTAATTCCAATTCCAACCAGGAATCAAACCGACCCTGAATTTCTGTTGGATGAATCCTTGAAACCATATATGGTTATGGATCACTGGTTGGTTGACTCATGTACTTAAACCGCTTTTATGAATCAGTGGATCGGGTTAATTGGTAAACCTGCACTGACCCGATTCTATCGCACTGG